CTGTTTTATTTCCGAATGGAGTCCCATTAAGTTGAACCTTTGTTTATTATTCGTGCTCTGCATATAATTGCTGCATTACGTTACCTTGAACGACGTACTGCAGTGACAGCAATTGGGAGAGCCAATAAATTATTTCTACTCGCCGTATGACAAATAAACCACACAATAATTCTATGTAGTTCGACGTAGTGGGAATAAAAGCGAGATACAAGGACCAGGAACTCCATTTAATAACTCGAATATGGTCATCTTATTCATCTACGTTATGAATTTTGTGTTTTATGTTCTTTTCGATTGACTGAATATCTTAGATCCAGCTATATAAAACGTCTTAACGACAGTATTAGAATAATTGGCCATGAATAGACGTTTAGTCCATCGAATTTGAAGTGCGTATTATGTGTGTACTTATTTTTTACTTTAATTTCTTAAGGCTAATCGCGCAGTGCGGCTTTAATAATAGCATTGAGAAAACTAATACTTTACCACAGATGAATTGTATACATGTATACATACTGTGCCGTTTTTAATCGCTAAGCGCAGTTAGCCTAATTGGTAGAAATTTATAATTTAGAATAATGACAATTTTAGAATTTAATATGGAGTAAATGACAATTTGAATTGTTTGTCTTGTTTCTTTGCGCACTTCCTCAAGTTTCCAGAAACATTATTTTAGCAGCGCCGTGCGAATGTGGCTATATGGATAATCCTATTGAAATATTATTTTTATACCTAGTCAAGTAGTTACAAATGGATCCAATAATATTTTGAGATATGTAAGCCAGATAAAATATATGAAAAATATCCACTTTCCACATACACAGAAACTATGTATTTTAATACAAAATTATCTTCTATTTAAACTTGTTTATAAACGCATACAAATCTCGCAGTGTCTTTGGATCTTTTTGTGGTAACCTGGATTTATGAAAATAGTAGTACGTTTACAATTACGAGTGGCGGCTGAGAAGTCCGCAGCCTAAGGTATTTATAAAAAGAAAAGTCAATATTTTTTTATTTCTTAATATTATTTCTCTCAAGTGATATGCACTTCCCACATCTGGCGTATAATGCATTTAAACCACCAAAAAATATTCTTTGTCAAAATGACGATCTACGGCGGCTACTTAGAGGATGGAATAATAGTCTATCATTTCATTGTCATCTGAAAACCTTTGTTCCCGTAAGTCATTTTTGAAATTGGAAAAGTCGCTAGGCGCTAGGTCGACTGTAGGGAGGATGGCTTATTTCTAAGAAGCCGGTGACTTTCAATGCCTGACTGGCAATGAGCGCCGTATGAATGGGCGCGTTGTCCTGCAAAAAGATTGCGAACTTCCCACGTCTCTTCTAGACAACAGCCTCACGAACCTGAGCTAATATATTTGCATATTACTAGCCATTCAATGTAGTTCCCTTAGGCAGGTAATCGATTAGCAAAATGTCTCGCTATAACAAAAAAATATCGCCATAAACTTAGACCAACGATATTTATGTTGTACTAGCGTACTAGATGCAGCGTTCCATACACACAGTGTGTCACTGATATATGGTGAAGACGCTACGCATCATTTAGTTGGTTGTTAAACATTCAAGATGCGATCCTCTTTGAAAATTAATTTACATTTGTTGATCATGTTTCGCTATTTGACTAATTGTGTGAACATTAATATTTTAAATTATTCACATTAATTCGGTAAGTAATGTTGTGATTTTTGATTAATTTGTGCATTATAATTTGATAATCGCGAAATAGTATACAAAATTTCACACTATCCATCTTCATTTGCAAGCATGTATTGATGCGTGTTAAAACAAGACAAAACATAAATAATAGATTATTAAGCAGAGTGAGGGAGTTCCGACTACACAATACAACAGAGTATGTATAATATATAACAGTTACGAAGGTTACCATATAAATTTTAAAAATATGAAAAAGAACGATATTTATGTACTTAACTAGGCTGCATAAAGATCTCTGCCTTTCCGCAAGGAAAAGTACATAACATATTTCAACTATTTTTCGTTCGTCGAAAGAGTACGTCCAACCTTACCTATTTCTATCGCCAAGCAGTAATGTGAGCATTAGTGACATGAGATAAATTACACACATGGGACTTGTCAACTTATGTCTCAGGTGACGGGCGCAGTGGCAGTATTTGTCCACGGAACTATGGCACATCGGTGGCATAAGAATATCTATTATTTGACAAAATTCAACAGTAAAATAAAACACTATCAGTATTGGCAGCGTTTTGTTTGGAACATGTAGTGGCTGTGATTGTTCTTGTCTATAGATTGAATCATTGGCTTAGACGCTGACTTTTCCAACTTGAATTTTTTCGGCGCCCTTTTTTTTTAATCCATTACGTAGATTCTTATTTATACTCTGGGGCGTACAGGCAAATTGTCGTTACATCACCGATCACGATACGATCACAAAAGGCGTCCAGATTTTTGCTTACCAACTCTAAAAAATCCATGCAATTCGCGAATCGCCGGTCCCTGTCGAATGGCATGAGCATTTTTGAAACCCAAGGCGCACAAATTTTTTTCAATTTAAATGTTGATTCGATGATGAAAATTTCTTCATTCATTTCTATGCTGATTTGCAACTCTTTCGCTATCTGCCACAATTTAACTCTTCAATCGGCTTACAATTTTTTCAACTGTTTTAATTTTTTCTTCTGTCACTTCTGTTATTTTCCAATAACATTAGTGACAGAAGAAATGGCCCCCGAGTGGGGGCCATTTTTGCAGCTTTGTCATCCTATTCGAAATAAACGAACCCATTTTTTAACCATAATTTATAAAGGCCCAGAATCCTAAAAAACCGATGATATAATGATAATGTCTTTCGAAGTTTTCCCTTTTTAACAAGATTTTATTATTAAATTGCGAGAATTTGCAGATTCGGCTACCTGTCGATGTACCACTAAGTATTCTATTATGTCGTTTGAAAAATAAAAAGTAAGTACTAGTTTTAACTACCATTGAAACTTACAATTATTGGTGTCAGTAATAATAGACGGTAGGATATTTTTAAATACCTTAGGCCGCGAACTTATTACAGCCGCCTTTCGTAGTTTACTTGAATTAGTCAAGAAGCGCGTGCTGTGCGGAGCTTTCTGCAGAGCGTCTCTTATTCCAAATTGTTTTACAAAATTTGACTAGTCACGTAAAAAGTCGCCAGTTAGGCTCAACTTACATTGCGGCTGAACAAAATGGAAGCAAATAATTATAATGATATCGTGTGTTTAAAGGTAAAACCATATAAGTGACATTTCCACAAAAAGTCTAAATTATATAGCTGTGGTAAGAAAATCACTATCTTTCTGCACATGAAGCTCAATAACAAAAAATCCTACAAACTTAATAAGAGTTTTATCTGCAGAAAGATGGTGAATTTCTTATAACTGGCATAATTTGAAGATATTTTGTGAAAAATGTCACTTATGTGGTTTTACCTTTAAGCAGACGATATTGTAAACTGCATAATGAACTTTATAGTCAATTGTGCAACGTACCAACTACGTACGAGGAAAAAACAGGCGCGTCTTTTGGAGAATTCTCGCGCATGCACAAAAAAGTCCGCGTATTCGCGAGAATTCCTGCGGGTGCTGTCAGCAACGCCTGGCAACTCCGCGGAAATGGCGCAAACGGTGCAAACGTCAACCGTCTTCAAAATAGGTTACGTACGTACCATGCTAGAAGACATGGATCAGACGAATTTTGTATCTATTTGGTGCAAGAATATGATTGTTTGTACAATGTAAAAGATACAGCTGTGTAGATAATGTAGAAGCTACAGCGACAAAAATTCTAAGAATAACATCAAAGTAAAAAGTAGGTGGATAGAGATATATAAATCTTTCGCACTTTGCTCTCAAATATCTTTTTCCATTTTTCTGGTCTTTATTTTCTCCTTTTTCAGCTTCACAACAAATTATCGAATTAAAAACAATATCCAAGTCCATCATCCTTGTCATATAAAAGATCCAGACTGAGCAGCTGAGCACATAGCATAGTACCACCGTTTGAGGCGATACTATGCTCAATTTCGCGATAATTCCCGTGATTGCATCAAGATGCAGTCACGGGAATTCTCGCGAAAGATTGTGCACCCCGCGACTTTTCGCGCCGTCTCGCGCATCGAGGCGAATTTCGCTTCTATCTTTCTACCGCAGTATAAATTGAGCCTTGGTCGAAAAAACTAGATTGACTGTCCACGGTTTGAAAATTACAACGATGTTTTACTGCCCACACTGGAACAACCTTATTCTAGCGGCACCATTCCTCAATATCGAGAACCACAAAACCAAGCTTACATCTGCATTAAAATAGTGATAATGTAGTCGGTTCTAGTCGTGACGCCATTTGAAAAAGTTATCGAGGATTTACTATCCACGCTACACCATTTTTCAATCTTGACAGCCACAGTTCCTAGCTAATAATGTATGATAGCACCCAGTAAAAGACGTTTCTGCAGAGAGTAGTTGCTGTCTTTACTTTGCTATATTAACAAAAAGGCATGTCCACCGAACAGACTTTGACAAGAGATCCTCATTTTTCAGTTTATTTTCCTCTTCAAGTGAACCTAGTTTTGCAGATATGATCTAGTGCATCATTTTATCTCAAATACATACTAAACATTTCCCTTTTTTGTGCATATTGGTATACTTAACTCTGGAAATTAGCTTTTACGAGCGGAATCATTTCTGCATAATGACGTCTAAAGGTACGAGCAGCAAGCAGTAGCCTAGACCACTGTATTACAATTAAACTTTTGTCACAAGTGAATATTAATCCTTACTGTGCAATAGTAACAGCGGCGAAGGTAATCTATAACAAAAGACCTATGCGTAAGTTGTGAATTTCATCGCTGTGTGTTTGAAAAGATCTGCATGTGTAGCTTCTTGTTATATTGGCGAATACATTTTGCATGAATCACCTTGAACGTGTGAATAAATTAGTAATGATAGCATTTTCTTTCGTTTCAGCGTCAACCGTTCCTCCCCGATCGGGCAACGTGAGGTCGGTTTTATAATTTTGTGCTAAGACACTGAACGTTTGACAGTGGACATTTATTTGTATATACGTAATAGTTTTTTAGATCGAGTAAGACCGTCTGCCTTTTAGATTGTAAGCATTAGTTTACGTAAGTTGGAAGCTAGAATATTATAAGAACTAATTTAGTTAATTATAATCTCCTATTGTAATGATTCTATCATATTTTTTATGTCTGTTAACGGTGGAACGTTTGTTGTGTCTAGTTAAAAGTGGTAAATATACACGAGGTGATTTTTATGATGTGGTCGACTCAATGTTATTATAGCCGCCTAAGTAAGTAGGTGTTTCGCTTGGGTACACCTGTATATTTACTTTTACACTGCACTGTGTAAGCTTTCTTTCTCTGTATTGTTTATATCAATTCGTTCAATAATTTTGATAAGCCGATTTCATTTGCTTAAGTTTCAATTCGTAAAGTCAGCTATAAAAGTAGCGGAAAGCTTTTTTAATGTTTAGTGTTATAATATTTAAACGCAAACGTAAAATGTTATGCATTTGTGTTTAAAATATTATGTAATACTCGTTCAACAGACGTCACGACAGAGTTAAAGAAATCCTATAGTGAAACCTAAAAAAATTTACAAAGTCATAACAAATTATAATCCACAGTTTACAAATCCAATATTTAGGTATAACTATCAACATGTGATACGAATACCTTACATAAGACTTTATTTTTAAAGAAGAAAACAAAAAGTGAGCGATCCTAAACATATTCAATTTTAGCTATAATATAATCTCGTCTCAAGCAGTACCTAAATAAAATGAGCAAATGTAGGCGAATGTTACACGGCGTCCTAGTCTTAGTCCCAGTTGCGGCTATTTACGGTTGTTTTAAGTGGCGCAAACGCAAGTGGATAACAACAATAGCTAATAAGTTGTGTTTTATAAGTTGTACGTTGTAGTTGTATGTTAGTTGTTCTTAATACATCGCATTTATACATTCGCACGATGAGGCGGACGTGTGAACGGTGCGTTGATTACTTCTCCTCACTGACATCGCTCCTCGCATCACCCCTCATGCTCACTGTTGTCACTCGTGTCGACAACGATTGCGCGGTGAACTTATTGTTATAGGATGCGTAGATCTGGCGAATGAGCCGCGAATGCGCTGCATGTGCTCTGCGCGCGTGTTGCACGCGTGCACTTAAATACATGTAATTATATGGGTCGCGCGAAAAGTGCCTATATCACTTAGTGGATGTAAAAAAATACAGTCTAAGCTATATCATGAGCTGACAGTGACAGTTAACGCTAGCGACCGCGTAAAATATTTGTATACAATATGTTGCTATCTTATTGTGACCGCTAGAGGCGCTGTATAATTTGCCATACAAAATTGTGAAGTAATATACGCTGTCGCTAGCGACAACTGTCCCAGTAATTTCGCGGTAGAGGCACAGATCGCATAATGTAATGCATGTGTGCAGCTCGTGAGCCTTTCGCAATCAGACGCATTTGCAGCGCATTCGCCAGATCTGTATGCACCCATACATTCGCGATTTACATTTAGCATGCGCTCGATGTAGATGCTGCTAGAATGTGTACGTCGTCTATCGTTACAGGTCGACGTAGAGGGAATGTGCAGAGTGGTGAACGCGATTGTGCAAATGCAGTATTAAATACGATCTGGATTTATTTAGCCCATAAATGCTTCCACGCAGATTACGGATAAGGGGGTCACCACACTTATCGACGTGGAATGGTATGTCCATGCAATAAAAGCGTACGATATTATATGATTAGCTTTGACGTCGACGCGACTTGGCTTACTGCAGAATTTCCCATCATTATGGCGCCGACGTGGGCTGATGGTACCCGAAAACGTCCGATTGTCTCCGATAACCCAAGATGTCTGAATCGTGTGCCGATCGGTTTCCTTTTACATCGCCGTCGACGATGACGACGGCCGATCGGCGACGCCTGGTCCAGTCGATGACCGAACGACGATGATCAAACGATGGCTTAGGGCCAGCGCAAACCGGCGAGTCTAAAAGGCAGAGGACATTAAATTTATCAATGTAAACGTTATGCTACTTTAATTATAATAAGCAATAAATTTCAATGCTCGCAGCGCAATTGTCTCTGCGATATTGCAGAACACGATAGTGCATACCGCGGCGGGAGGCGTCGATATGTGGCGAAATCCACCGGTATGCGCCTGAATACACCAGTATGCATAGGAATCCATGCTGTGCGTCGGAGTCGGCCAGAATGCGCCGAGGTCCTTTCGACTGACAAATCAGAGAGACTGGTGGCATATCAGCCGATGTTGCGGCATTTCAACGGCCTGCGGTGCGCTGGCGGACGCTCGCAGTTTCGTAAAGGATGTCATCAGTGTGCGCTGTGGGCATAAGATTCTCTTCGACGCTCCCTCGCGCCGTCCACCGGTTTGCGTTAGCCTAGCATTAAGAATGCAACAAGTTATACGTCATCAGCTCAAGCCGATTCCATGTCGATAAGTGTGGTGACTCCATTGTACTCTCATTTTGCTATTTGGCATACTACTTTTGAAAATAATACGAAGGTACGTTGTATAGATAATTTATTAGAGGGTTTTGTATTTATTATACTCTGAAAAAGTTTGTATGTACCTATATTTGTTAGTGTTTCTTATTTTTATACCACAATTTTGTAAAGGTAGCGAAACTATTGAGTTGGCTTATCTAAGATCATTGAAGTTAAATTGTTCAATTATTCTTCGATCTCGTATTTTTTCGCTTTAAGTACAAATAACCTTTTAATGTACAGTATGTGTCGGTTGTGTATTGGCATGGTCATATTCATGAAACGTTTCAGATAAAAATTGGGTTGCTAGGTTATAGACTATCGTTGAAAGATCCTTCTTTTAATGGTAAAGATTTTGAAATATTAAGGTACGCTCAGTGCTAAAACAGAAGTCGCACAGCAGTTATACTATTTTTTTTTTGTAAAGACAAAACTTTTTTGTATCTTGCTGCTCCCAACCAAATTTTTATTATGAAGTAAACTTAGAATAATAACGCATAGAAACCTAGTCCGCACATGCTAAGTGAGGCAAATTGAAGCGCGCCCAAAGGGCCTACACGAGCGCGCGGGCTTTCAGTGCTCAAGGTCAACTTGCACCGCGAACAGATCAAGAATTTTAACTAAAAATGACGAAATGTGCGGTAAATGAGTGTAAAAATATGTCAGACAAACATAAAATAGATACTAACATCACATTCCACAAGGAAGTAACGCGTTTCAACTTGTATTTTTATATAAATATTCACTAAAACCGAAAATTAACCTACTACTAAAACTAGCCTATATGAAATTGATTTTTGCCTCACTTGTGACAGTTCGTTTGATATGAAACTATCATTCTATGCGTTATTATTCTAAGGTAGTAAATAAATGCGATTCAAGATGTGTGGTGTTATTTAAAAGTAGTTAATCATTAAGACATGTACCACCCATGTGACAAGAATAAAAGGGATTTATTCTTCAGTTGAGTATTCAACTATTATAGTCGTCACCAAATAAGACGCCTTTTTTGTTTTCTGTCGTTCCGTATGGAATAGGCGAATTTGACACTTGTCATCGTGACGTGAATAAGGATGCGAACTAATCATATCGGTAACCTCGTTATTCACCAGAAATCGATTCAAAATTTTATGACTTCGGTTCATTGTTTTTCAGTTCTAGATAGTACAATTAACATTTATTGAAATATTATACAGTTAAATATAAATAATAAGTATTTTAAATGATCAACGATGACCTGTACTTGTTGTTGTAGTATTAGCAGAGGGCAAAAGGCTTCATAATTTAAATTTTTATTCACTGTTGTCAGACGACTAGCCAAAATCGTCTGATGAAACGAATTAATTATAGTATATACTGTAATTAATTCATTTATATGGTCAATATTTACATCTTTAGCAAAATCTTTCTTTTTTTTTTTGTTGTTTCTGGCACTTCGCGGTTTATGTTTATGCCACTGCAAAACGGGGAAATTTTCTAATCGTTTCATATTTCGAGTACCGCTGGATCGATATCAGTTTTGCCAATTCAAAATTTGCAAAAAAGAAAAGCAAACAAATCTGCATTGTGAAATTCGGCGATTTATTAGTTACAACACTATTACTTATTTTAAAAAAAAAATGAGGATGTCAGTTTTCAGACGTTTCGGAGTAGTTCAAAATTAATGTTTTTTTAATTAATAATAATAACGCACACACTCATAACCCCGCACTAGGGAAACCCTGTATCGCGTGTGCCATGGACATACCTACATATAGACAACCACAAATTACATCCAAACTCACGAGAGAAATAGGCCATACAAATATTTCTTACGGCACAGGACCCGGGACCTCTGCGTGGCAGTCTGGCATGGTAACCGTTCGGCCACGGAGGCAGTTATGCGAAAACAGTACTTGATATATGTTTTGTCATATTATGTAGTGTTTCAATAAATTTAATGTATTTTTTTTAAACTCAATAAGTTAATAGTTGTTTGTTTATTGTTTCGTTGATAGCATTCAAAGGTACATACTATCCGTCTGTTTTAGCGGTATAAGTTTAATTTGGTATCTTATTTGGTGACGACTATAATATTCGGCTCACGAAAAATACAACATAAAAGAATTATATGGAAAAAATTTTTAATGATTAGGCCTCTTATCAAACTGCAATATGGTGACACACAAAGCACTTTTATATTCAGGACTATAGCATACTCGTAGTAAGACAAGTAATGTAACTCCATAAAAAATAGCAAGGTGGCTTGTATGTATGTAGTGTGCACGCTCGTCGTGTACAGACGCACACATTCGAGTGATCTCGTGGTGCACTATTGAAACGTTCGTTCGGTGTAAAACGTTAAATAATAGATGTGTTTAATTTCACAAGGGTTATTTCAATACAGCACGTGACCATTCAGTGGTTGAATATTTTTTGTTTCAAATTATTACTTTACTTCTAAAATAGTAGCGTGACTTATTTCAGTGTGCACCATAGTCGAGTTTTTGAAATTTGACTAGCCAGAAAAAAGTCGCTATTGAGTAGGTTCTAGTCGCAAAAAAATAGATTTAGTCGGTCCGCCGTTCATAAATTATAAGGGTGATTTCTGTCCACACTGGAATAAGCGGCACCATTTCTTAACCTTGACAACCACAACACCTAGCTTAGACCTGATTGCACCCAGAAAAAGTCGTGAATTAGTCGCTCCTTCGTTTAGATGGGATTTTGAATTATTTTCATTGGTACGTACATTTACGTTGAAAAATCGTACACATAATGAAAAATGTCAGTACTCCTTTCAACCATTTATTTAACTTCTGACAGTTCGAATTCTAATCAATTAGTGAAGTCCTAATGCGTTTCCAATTCGATTTTTTCTAACAACCGATTTTATTTATGAAGAATTTTAATCGTGAATGTGAGCGGGTTCAATAAAGAATATATTGTCTGATTGGGATCGTAATGTTGCGTTTGACAATTTATGTAGTCAAGAATTCGCACCTCTAGAACGACAATGACATTATTGCAAAAATTTCATTTTTGAGAAATACGCTTTTGAAATTTTTTTTACTCTTTTACTGATATTTTTTTTCGATTGGTAGTAATCACAGTATATTTTGCAAAAAAGCATTAATATAGGCTTTATTTGAGAAAAAAATTGCATTATTCTAACTTAATATTTTGCTTGCTGTTTATTATTTTGACAGGTACCTATAGTTGCGTAGTAATTGTTATTAAAATCTATTCGTTGTGTTTATTAACTTTAAGAATGCCAGAAGAACATTGACGTAAAGTCAGAACATTGGCCTTAAAATAAAAAAATATTCTTAGATCGGTGGTTAATTATTACTTCAATCAATTCACCAATATACTTTGGAACACATTTCAGTTTCTAATACTATCAGTAGGCATAAAGTATACATTTATTAAGAGTTATATTGATTTAACGATAGAAAGTATTTTCACCTAACAATGTTATTAATATAACTAAAAGTTATAATGTAATAATAGTAATGTTTTATTACAAAACTTCAAAAATTTATAACAATCAAATATTTTTATCAAGTCTTCCTTTCCTGGTGAAATTATACAGTATAAAAATGCTTGAAGAACAAAAAATAAGTGTTCTCAAAATAATCTTAAAGAGAGGAGCTTATAATAGTTACATTAATTTACATGTTGAGACCCAATCATTCTTTTACACATTAGATAAACAATTATTATTATATGACATAACAAAATATAGTTTATGATATAATGACAATAAACACAGGTCAAGTTGTTCTCTGAAATCTCTGCTGTTAGCAGCCACTCCTTGAGAGGGCAGCTGGTCTCAACTAGCCAATGAGTCGTTTTTGAATTATAGTCCCTCTTCAATCACACAATGACTTAAATTCCCTCTAGAGTCTATATGGCTAATTACTTAAAAGTCGATGTCGCACTTGAAATTTTGATAGAAGTCGTTTATTATTAGATTACTTTTTGAAATTTTAGCACTTACGTCACTGTCGTTCTATAGGTGCGTTAATTGAATGAGGATTCACGTGATGATTCTCGTTCATATGGAGAAGAATTCATTACAATAAAGAATAAAAATTTATTATAATTAACACGATTGTTTTGTGTAATCAGATCTAAACTAGGTGTTGTGGTTCTCGAGATAGAGAAATGGTAAACAGTAAAACACACAACTTTTGAACGGCGAACTGACTAAATCTAGTTTTTTGCGACAAAATAGCGACTTTTCTGGCTAGTTAAATTTTAAAAACTCTACCATGGTTACACTGGAATAAAGCACGCGAAATAGTAATGTAACAATGCCGTCTGTTAACTAAAACGCGGTTAAGTGAGAAAATATTTTTTTTGAGATGTCATAAATAACCATAACCCAGTTTTAGAATGTTGAAATTGTTGAATGATATTTCAGCTATGCATCGTTAGAGTAAGTTCCGATAAGTCGAACACGTAACTAATTTTTAAAAGAGAAATTGTGCTCTATCTTTTTCTATTTAAAACGGATATTTGACCATTTGTCACTTAGCCGCGTTTTAGTTAGTGGACGGCAGTACACCCTGCGCTCCGAGCCTACACATTGAGAAACAATATTTTCGCTCCTGCCGATCGGAGGACAAGGGACAACCCGTATTGATGGGCTGAACTAGCGCTGCTACGTTTTTATGGAGTTACACTACTTGT